GCAAAAACCACGAACGAGAATCCAAACTCGATACGATAGCACCGGTATCAATTTCGGGGTCTATTATACGTCGTTCATTTAAGCATACATCAGTTTCTAAAGCGTAACCCATACTACTTTTAGGTGTTTCATTTAAATTAGAGGAAGGCGGCCGCTTCGATTCCGTGTTGTCGCTTGTTTTATACTCCAGGTGTTGTGGTATCTCTTGTTCTCTTGTGGCTTCAGGATATATAGATCGAATTTCGGGTTCCTCTTGGCGACGGTCAATTATTTCCAATTTATCCTCCGTTTTATAACTTGACGGATTGTTCTCTAAGAGTGACTCTCCTTCTAATCTTTCTTTAGCGAAATTGCACCAATGATTTTATATTAATCGCCCCTAAAAAATAAAAGGTAAATATTTCCATGAAATTTTTTTATATTCCATTTAACTGTCCACCATCCGTTTCCAGTTGGCTACACGTTTTTTCTATCTAGTGCCATCAACTCGTAACGCAATCGTATCGTTTTTGTCTTTCATATCGATATCTTGATAAGGATAATCGTAAACCGGTCTATGTTTTAATGTCAAGTTTATAGCATAGATGATTGTCTGAACGACCTGGCGCTTTCTGCACGATTTTATGAAACAACAAATAGTAAATCAAAGGGTAAAAACATTGCAATTTTTACGTTCCAAACGTAACACAGACTGATTGTACCGTTAGAGGATAAGGTTGAATAAAAAAAATGTTTAAAGAAATTTAATTAGGTTGACACAAGCGAAAAAATCGGCGCCACATTATTGTGAAGTGTGTTTTTTTTACAATTAAAAATTTCTCAGATCTTTCAAATGAAATTATCTTTATTCAATTATTAATAATAGCTCCACTCAAAGCGATATTAATAAGTTGCAATGGGAGCTTAGAATAAAAATTTTTTAATTCTTGTTTTTAATGTGTTCGCTTTATGTTTTCGTATCAATGTGAGCGCGTTTTAAGGCCATTTCATATATTTTTTCTTTTAAAATAAATGGTAAACAATCAATAGAACGTGACTATGCCCTTCTGTCATCATTATTTTAATATCAAAAATTAATTAATGACTTGACAAATATGTTTTAAAAGATGAAAAAAAATTTTTTAAATAAACATTAAAAAAAATAAAAAGGTAAGAAAACTATATTTGCCACTGATTGGGTCATTTTACTAACTTTAATAGTTTTTTAAAACTATCATCTAAAGCGTCTCGCATTACTTTCGCTTTGAAGTTTGGTTCTCTTCCATTTGCACACAGCATGTTAGCCAGAAAAATATGTTAATTGTGGAGGTGTGGACATTTTTTTCAACTGTGTCAGTTGATCCATTACGATGCTTTCAAAGGATTGGAATAAGCCTTAATACACCACGATCGATAGACCCTTCCAAATGAGGACACGGCGGAATTTGGCTATATCTGTCTAAGTTTGCCTAGCCTGAGTCATAGATATTTGCGGTTTGGATATCGTTATACAATGATTGCTCATAACTCGTCAGAATTTAGCAACACTATCTATCATGTAGCATGTCGTTGTGTTGATAACGCATAAATGTAGTGTTGCATTTCAAAATACTTAGCCAGTCTGACTCGTCGGAATGGTGTGGGTGTAGATTACAAATTCGCAAAAAATATCCGCGCTACAAAAAAATTATTATTTTAGTTGCGTGCATTATTTAACTTAGAATTATAATGAAAACAAAATAAAAATAAAGGAATCGTCCTACGTAGTTGCCCTAACTCACGTCCATCCTTAACTCATCCTCACGTTTTGTTCCGGAAATTTCACCAAATATTTGTGATATTAGAGAAAAATCATTTGTTAAAATTTAATTAACACTGCCAAAGAGAAAAATTTGTTATATATTTTTAAGAGAATTTTCTGGTTCATCCAGGAAAATAAAAATTAAGTTAATTAACCGTTATATTTCCCGTTTTGCTCAAGTCGCTCTTCGAAACATTTTTTAACACGAATTTTTGTTCTCTAATTAATTTGTTTTATATATATTGTAGTGTTATCGCATACTATCGTATGCATTCACTTGAAGTGTGACAAAATTATGCCACTTCAGCATAACCCTTTTGATAAAATAAAATGTCACACTTCACTTCGCATGTAAACAGTGATAATTCTGTTTATATAAGAATAATCTAGTGTGTGATAAGGATAATTTAGTAAGCAATTACAATCCTTTTTAGAATAAAATAAGAATAATTTAGTGTAAAAATTTAGTATAAATAGTGCCTAAGAAAATAAAGAAAATCAGTTCTCATAAAGCAACTCAACCAAGCGTTTTACTCGCTAATAGCACTAGGCATTCAATCTGCGTGAACCATTAAGATTAGTGACCGTGTTATGCCGATACACTTTGGCATTATAAAAGACGGATAGACTTGGCGTACTGCAGCCGAGCAGCTTAGGGCCTAAACAGATAATCAATAAACACACGATACTATATCAATTTTATAACAATATATATATATATATATATTTTTTTTTTCTCTTGTTTTTCATCCAGAACCAAAAGGAAACAATCGCTTTTACAGCAAATTATTTTCCAGCCCCCGTTTTTTTTATCATTTTTTTCTTTTTTTAATTTTTCTTCTTATCAACCAATTCCACTCTTGCCATTATCCAAAAGAAAAATCCAAAAAAACGCTCGTTTCAAAAAAACTTGTTTGCTTATTTCCAGTACGTTACAAACATTCTCACTCCGAATTAAACAGGAAAGGTAAAGCTTTGCGCAAATGCCAGGAATTTGGCTCATGAAACTTTTTGGACCGACATTATCTTTACCATGCAGACACAAATCGATCAGTGTTTCGATGGGGTTATGCTGACAAATGCCCAAGTTTAATGTTTGACGTTTACATGTGTTCATTTCCGCCACTAATCGCTCTATCGAAAAATGCCAGTGGATGTAGTTCCTAACCTTTATTTCTCGATCTTATGTGTCAGACTATAAAATATATAAAAGTAAACCCGGTTTAATCGTAGCAATAGTCCTCAAGTTAAGAAATTATGAAAAGACTATTTTTTTAGGGTGGCTCCGTTAATGCTTTTAAGAGCTATTGCCGTCTAATCATAAAATTAAAACAGTTACTAATGCAATATGCATATAAATTATTATTATAACAGAAATGAAACACAACTAATTCATAAAAGTAATCCCTCAGTATAAAACAACGATTTGTATATCTGTGTCAACAAAGCAATTTTAGTTGAATGTTTCATATCACACCGACCGTCCACAGTGGATTTGCATTCCATTATGACCATCCTTGTTATGCAGTGAAATTAAGAAACCATTGAAAAGTTTCAAGTAATTTTATTTAAGTTTTGTTTTCAAACACAGTAAAGTAAAACAATAAGGAAGCATTAGTCGTTGTGGCGGCATTAGAATATCGTTATTTGTATAAAGTAGTTATCTTTTGTTCGGATACATGGAGCTGGGTTGCTCATGCTTAGGTTTCACTAGGAAGGAATATGTGATTGAGAATTATATGTTCTTATGTTTATTTTAAATAATTTTGTTGTTGTTGTTGTTATTGCTATGTATGCATGTTTCCTTAATTATCTACAGATTTGTAACCATTAATGATTTTAAAGATCATTAAGTCGTTGATTCTCAAGTAAAATTCATAAAGTCTTTATAAATTCCTAAGTCTTTCATAATTCCAGACTAGTTATCCATAATAAATGTTGCCACTTTTGTTAGCTCTTAAGTCAAATCATTTTGTAAAACTAGATGCATTCTGAAGTAAGGAGAAGAAGAAAACTATTTTAAGAGTCTAACAAAATTAACAACTAATGCAATCAACAACGAACCATATTAAAAGATACAAATGCCGAAGAGTAAGTGTCTTTATCTTTGCAAATCCAAATTTGCGAAAAATTTTCAAAACTTCTCGATATTCTATTTTGACGAAAAAAAAATTAATTACATACGAGTTCATATGTAAGGTTTGGATATGTGAAATCTGGAGACGTGACCATTTAATTTAATTATCACGTATTATGTCGTCGGATTCTTTTATAAACTGTAATAGCAGAGAATACTTTTAGGAGCAACGTTAATGTTTGGGTGCGAAACGTCGCTCTTGAGAGAATGAATTGAGATCTATCTAAATCGAAAGAGCAAGCGTTCAAAGAACAAGCGTCCCCTATATTACTAGTAAAAAATGTCAAGTTAACAATAAAACAAATCTTGGACATAATAAGGAATCATACACAACTGTCATGTTAGGGTTAACGTTTGATTTGCATCAATTTTATTGCTGATTGGTGTAAAGAAGTTAAAATTCAATTTTCGACTGTTGTGGTCGTGTTCGTGGACTTAGGACCCATGTAATTTGACTCATAATATACGAACTTTCTATATGTGATTTAAAATTTTTATGAGTTTGAAATAACTAAGTCGATTGAAAATATTTGGCTAATCAAGAAGGTGTATGTCTTAATGAGCTTATCTAACTTCAAAGAATCGGCAATAATAGTGTACTCGAACACTTTGGGCTGGTTTATTATGGGATATGATCGTAAATACGGCCAAGAAGCCAGCTATCAGTCAACACCTTTCTCTTTGTCATAGCAAGGTTGTCAATTTTTGTCGGGGCAGGACTTTGTCTTCCCGCTTTTATAAAATGTATAAAACTTGTAGGCAGCTCTATCTAATGTAACGTACGCTCATCTAAACAACGCAGCACGAACTAGCTAAACCACACATGTCTAAAGTTACATAGGTTAGATGCACCTTCTGAATCATACGCGAACAACTGCTTTCAAAAAAGAATAATGTCGTGACCACAAAGGAGATGAAAAAGCAAAAACTCCATGTCTTCAAAGAGATTGAAGAAAACACTCAATCAAATTGTGCTCATGTCACTTTGCTGTTGCTTCTACGACCTATAAATACACTTGCAATAACGACAAATACATTAAGTGCAAAAGTGATAAATGATTTTAAATAAAAAGGACATTGCCGAGGTTCTACCGAGACTTGAACTCGGATCGCTGGATTCAAAGTCCAGAGTGCTAACCAATTACACCATAGAACCGATTAGCGATGTTGCGTCAAATATTGTTTAAATACGTGTGTATAGACTAATATTTTTAAATAAATTAAAAATTGTAGGAAACCAAATGCTTACTCTCTCTGTAGAAATTAAAGCATTTTGCAATATTTTTCGGATATCCATACAAGGTTATACTAATTATATTTGTTCTTAACGAACATTAAACTATGTTAAAAAATGTAGTTTGCATCGACCGCTTTTTGATCCCTTATTTCCGCTTCTCAGTCGATGTCACTTTCGCGAAGGCGAAGGCAGAACTTTGAAAATGCTTTCAATACAAAAAGGCAGTCACTCGGTCGAAAAATTTTCGTCATACATTTCTTCTAAAAGTTCAACGCCCATAAGTATTCATTATTATACATAAGCTTAAAATGTTGCTTACTGCCCTAATCTATCCTAAGATGAAAAGAATTTTCTTACTGTTTATAATTTTTTCGGGAAATCTTTTTAAATCTTTATGCTTATCTTTATGACAATATTTAGGATAGATTCTGTTTGACTTGACATGCATAAAATGTTATTGTTTTCTATAATGACAATAAACAATGCAGACAAATTATTATGGTTTGTTTTGTTCTCATTTTTGTTTTTTTTTCTGTTTTTTTATTGTTTGAAAATCGAAAACACAATTGCGAACACGAGCAACAATTTTAACAATTGTCAACAGAGAGATTGTCATAAAAGTTTAACTACGTGCACATGCAAAGTTGTGCGTACATGGATTGAATAGGTTTTTTATGCAAAACTTTTCTATTTTGTTATAAAAAAATGTATTCATATATATATAAAGTTATTTGCCAAAAAATTTAAAAAACTTATAGGACAATAAAATAAAATTAAAGTTGAACAAATAAAATAAACAGATTCCGAAATATAGTTCAAACACCATGTTGTATCAAATATGTTTAGCCTTCTCTCAGGAAGTAAAAATTTACTTGTAAAAACATTACTCTTGTCATGTTCGCTTACTTATGAGCTCATTTTAAGAGAAATATATAAAAGCAAAAAAATAAATAAATAAATAGAACATTTAAAGCCTTTCGAGCATTTGTACATACATAAACGTAAACATAAATATAAATTTATTAATTTAATACCATCACAATTTCTTTTCACTTTGTCTTTATTTGATAAGAATTAATACAAAAAATCATTAAAATTTCTAATAGAGTTGAGCAAGTTAAGTAAGTTATATGGTAAGCTCTCAGCAATCTTTCCATGCATTGCGTTGGCTTTGAATATAATCATAATGTCTCAAAGTACCTTACGTACAACGCTTTTTATTTTTAAAAGAGCCAGCAATTAGTTATCATTTACCAGCGACTTAAGCGTGTAATAAAGTCTAAGTTAACATAATAAATATGCAAATACTTTTACTAACAATAGACCATAACAACAACAACAACAACAACAATTACAATGCATTAAAGCTTAAATTTTAAACGAAAAAAGGGTCATACCTAACTGTGTTGCCGTAAAACCTGACATAAAAAAATTACTAAGAGTGCGGGGTCGATGCGGTTTTAACTGAAGGATAACTGAAGGATAGCGTTTGACGTTGACAAAAAGAAGAAACTCTATAGCGTTGAAAAGAACCCGTCAATAATTACATTATAAGAACGCACCGATTGTTAAGCAACCAACATGTAACTGCATATGAAGTGAAATACAAAAAATGGAGGTACATTGTCCAAATTGGGTGAGATTCACTTTTTTGTTGATTTACTATTTTAAACCAATTAGACGTTTTTAGAATTTAGAATGTTGAAGTGCTCTTCCTCAGTGAGCTTTGTACACAAATTTTGAAAATTGTAATTTTTTGCCTTATTTTGAATATGTGATATATGTGAAGTGTTCGAAAAATTGAAGCGATCCGAACCATTTTCAATTGCGTTCGTCCTTGAATCAGTGTACCAAATTTTATCAAAATAATTTAAACATTACCACCCGTAAATTGAACATAAAAGTTCATGGACAGACGTCACGAAGACAGATAGACAGACAAGCTTAGAATGAGAATCAATTTCTGAATCGATCGGTATAATAAAAAGTGAGTCTGTCTGAAGCTCTTCTGGATGTTATATATAGTCCCGCACAAACTTAATGTATTCCGCACAAGTGACGTAGAGTATAAAAATTATTTTAATGGGTTATTTCATAGTCAACAATAACAGTTGGTTAGTTGAATTCTGTCGAACTTACTGTTCATTTTGGACAGTGGGAAAATTAATAAATGAAGTTTAACCATCTATCGTTATTTTACCTTTGGCTTTATTATAAGTTATGAAATTGTCATATGTAGAAGTTGAAAAATGCATTGGAATTCAAGAAAAACTAGAGTGAACTTTGAAGATTTCGAATCATCCGATGTGTCTGTAATAATCAACCCTTTTGCAGATTTTTTGGGGAAGTCTACCAATGTTCAAATACTTCGTCTGATAATTATCCGTATTCGACAAGGTTCTTTGATATGTTTCTGTCTATGTCTTTCTCTGAAAAATAAGTATTTATAGTGTAGTCAACGTTGGCACCTTGTAATTACAATTACAAGGATAATTGTCCTGGCTCTGATGGTGCTCCATGTGTAATTCTCCAATCTTATGCTGAATTACTACGCTCTCCCCTTACACAAATTTTTAATATGTGTTTGAAAAAAAGTTACCTTCTGTCGGTTTGGAAGAGTAGCTGTATTTTATTTTTTTTTAAAGTGGTGGAATTGCCAAACTTAATGCACCACCCAAACTTCTTGAATCACTAGCAGGGAAAAGGCGTACTTCGGTTTTAGGTTCAATTAGATCGCACTGTCAGCACGGTTTTCTAAAAGGAAGATCAACGGCTACCAGTCTTTTGGCGTTTTATAATCCAACTTACAAGGCATTTTCCGATCATAAACAAACTAATGCACAAACTTTCCCAAAACTTTCGAGAGAGTTGACGATAGGTTGTTAGTATATAAATTATATCGCTTTGATTTTCGGGCAGTATGATTGCCTGCTTTAGTAGCTATCTCTCTGGTCGCATCCAACTAGTAGTGCTGAAGTCTTGTCAATCCAGAGTAATTGTCGTCACTCCTGGTGCCACTCAGGGTAGTCATCTTGGCCCGCTTTTGTTTATTTTATGTGTAAATGGCCTTCCGGAGTGCATTCAACATTCCCGCGTTTTAATGTTTGCAGACGGCGTTAAACTGTGCCTCTCCTTTGACTCAAAATATGGTACTAAACTTCTTTAGTCTGAGCTTGAGAAGCTGATAAAACCAGACCCCTTTTAGGGTTTGTGAAAAGATGGTCTGAAGAATTTAAAGACCCCTACGATTGCGAAGTGCTTGTATACTTTATTAGTTAGGCCAACTCTTGACGAACCGTCGGTAGTTTGCCTTCCTTGTTATAGATATATACTTACTGATCTCTTGGATTGTGTTCAACGGGACTCCTTGGTGTTCACTTGCGAGGTTTGGGATGGGATCCTACATTATTTCTTCCACCGTATAATAATAGATTGAAGTGCATTGATTTGCCTACCCTCCAAAAAAGGCATGAAATATTGGGTATAAGCTTCCTCTTTAAACTAATAAATGATGATGTTTATTCGCCGACTTTATTAGAACTTGTCAATATTCACATCCCCAATAGGTACTCAAGATGTTTTGTGCGTTTGCAGCTACTACAATGTCGAGTTTTTCAATCCGTTTCGGGTAACACTATTTAACTTTAAGATTATTAACAAAAGGAGTATTATTGTTAAAATAAAATAAAAGGTTAGCACTTGATAAAAGTTGGCTAAGAATGCTATATCGATAGCGAGCTGGTTAATGTTATAATAAATAAATAAACAGTTGAATTGGGTAGATATTTCGCAATAGGAAATCAATAGTGAAATGTAACACCGAAATTAATTAACACAAGAAAGCAGTTTCTTAAATTTAGACTTAGTTTAAAATGTTAACTGTCAGAATTCATTAAGGGTTGCTACCTAAGCGCTGAATACATATTTTTGTTTTCTGTCAATTTGCCTAAAGTTATGTGGTTCTTCCTGCGTATCATAATTTAATTTTAAATTATAATTCATATATTAACCATCATATTAGTTATAGTAGTTTAAGAAAATTGTTAAGCAGCTGATAAGTACGAAATTTGTAGCTGAGTATTGAATAAATAAATAAATAAGTAATAAACTTAATGTTTAAAAACGTATCCTTATTGTTTTTGTACTCCATTCATATCTCATTCATATTTCGTATTACATTTAGTGAGTTAAAGAGAAAGTCGGTGGCGTTTGTCTTACTTGATGGGATAATTTTTGTACCAATACTCGTATAGCGCACAAGTAAGGTTATATTTGCCAGAAATTTAAAAAAAAATGTTGCGACTTTTTTCAACTATAATAATTACGTTTTGCGAATGAGCCAGATGTTAAAAAATGAAATGCTGGTTATTACAATACCACTTCTACCAAGCTAGCAAAGCATAGCAAACTTATCAAAAAATTTGTGTCGTGTATGATGAAAATGCTTTATCCACATTCGCAGAACGCTGTAAATAATTTCGTATTTAACACGAAGTTCGATATTTCGTATACACATGAATTGAATCGATCGGAACTCGGTATCTATTGAAACGAAATGAAATTAAAAGCAACGGAACACGTCACATACAACAGTCATGCGGGGAAAAGATCCTGGATGAATGATGCCGCTCAAACAATTGGAAGCCCGCACCGACATTGTCGAAGATGATATGTTGTGGTTTGTAATGTTAGAATCGTCGATTATAAACTGTTCTAACATCGCCGGACGCTTAATTTGACTTGTGTGTGAAGTGTGAAATTAAGTTAAAGCGTCTAAAATTGATCCAAAGATAAGATGTCATCGTTCATCGCGACAATCCCGGACCGCATACATCCCCAATAAGTTCCCGGTCGAGTACGGTACGTGTCACTCTCTGCGAAAGACTTAAGCTTGTAAAGATTACTTTAAAGAAAAAATA